ATCCATTCTTTTGTGGTTGGACATTTGGGCTGCTTCCATGTTCTTTCAATGGTGAATAATGCTGCTGTGAACCTTAGTGTACAGATCTCAGTTTGTGCCTCAGTTCTCATATTCTCAGGGTCTATTCCAAGTAGTGGAGTAGCTGGGTCATACGGAATATCTTTGTTCAGCTGTTTGCGGAAGAGCCACACTGCCTTCCAGAATGAAATTACCATGTCAGTGGAAATTCTTGAGGAATTGAAGTTCCATTGTCCTGTGTCCTTTTCCTGGCCCAAGGTAACTCGGGGGTGTAGCTCTGGTGGTGTCTTTTGAAGACAGATGCACTGCTACGCCACATGCTATGCATCTCTGGTGGTTCGAATCCACTAGTGACTCCTGGAGAGAAAGGTGGGGAGTCTCCTCCATTTGTTTGCTGCTGCTGCTGTAATTAGGGTTGCTATGGGCAGGAAATCACTTGACTGAATAAGTCAGCCAAGGTAAGTAAACAGGATAGACAACTGTCACATATTTTAACATCAAATATAGGTTCCGACTGAGTGACAGACTTTGTTAGGGAAACTACAAAATGAATTGGTACCAAATTAAAAAAAAAAAAGACATAATCCCTGAGTGGTTATATTTTCCTTAAATTTACAAATTACCTCTCCCAAATTTCTAACCCCTCAGCTCTTGGAACCACTCACAGCCCTTCACATATTTTGCCTTTTCCTCTAGGAAATCTTTCCTGCCTTGTGAACTTGAAGGATGAGTCTTGGTGTTGACGGTATCTTTACAAACCAAAGCCAAGCATATTGTTGCTGAGTCAATTCCGACTCAGACCAACTCCCTGGGATAGACGAGCGCCACCCCAGATTTCCAAAGACATGGATCACGTGTGAAGAACACGGCTTCATTTTTCTATGTGAGTTTGAACCACTGATATTTCAGATGGCAGCTGGGTGCTTTTAACCACTGTGCCACCAGGGATCCTCGGTAATAAGTACTAACATTTCTTTTTAACAGTCAAGAGGTGAGTAAAAAAAATAGACATTTGAAGCCAAGCCAAAAACCCCTTGAACACAAGAAATGTTAGTCACAGTGATGAGGCAGTCAGGAAAAGGCTGTGGGAACCTCAGACTCAAAACGATAACAAAACCCAGAAACCAACCTTGGAGTCAATCCCAACCCCTGTCGACACCATAGGACAGAATAGAACTGACCTGTGGCTTTTCCAACGTTGTGGTCAATCTTTAAGGCCCAAAGGTTGGCAGTTGGAACCCATCAGGTGCTCTGCATGAGGAAGAAGCAGCAATTTGTTTCCATAAAGAGTTATGGCCTTGGGGAACCTAGAGGGCTCTTCTGTTCTGTCTGAAAAGCTTGCTATGAATTGGAATTGACTTGATAGCAGTAAGTTTCATTCATCTTTACAGATGACAGAGTGGCTGGTGGGTTTGAACTACCAACCTTTCTGTTGTTAGCAGCCAAGTGCTTTAACCACCACCACAAAGGCTCTTTAACCACAGACTCACTAAAAAAAATCCCTCTTTGTTTGACTTTTAAAATTATTACCTAACTTGGGAGGGACTGGATAGCATTATGCTCAGTGAACTAACTCAGTCCCACAAGGATAAATATTGCATAAGACTGTTATTGTAGAATGAGTATAAGGATCCAAGAGGGGTGAGAGAGGCTGGAAGCAGAGACATGTGGATGTGCAAGGGGAAGGGGGGGATTAATCATCAGTTTGTATAATTTGTTGGGTGGAGGGATGAGGGAAATGGAAAGAACTTGTTCTCGAAAACAGTGTATTTGAATTTTGTAAATAAACTAGTAGAAAATTAAAACAACAACAACAATCCCCCCCCCATTGTTACAGAGTTGGAACCGAATCATTGCGGATCCTCCACTGGGGATTCAGAGGCTACAAACTGCACGGGAGGAATCCGTGTTCTTCCTTCCCTGGGGCATGTGGTGGATTTGAACCTCTTCTCAGTTAGCACGACTTCCTGTGACTTCTGCCTTCATTTACTAACAAGCTCACATACTGCCCTGCTGCCAGCATGTCTCCAAAATACTTACAGCCCTGAAGAACCTTGCACCAGCCACTTACCATCCACACAGGCACGCGGGACAGGCACTCTGTGCCCCCAGCTGTGCGGAACATGACCAATGCTGCCAAATTCATTTTCACTAAAATCTGAGTGGAGTCACCCCAACATTTAAAAAATCCTATTCTTCTTTTTTTTTTTTTTGAGGGTGAATAGTAATGATAGATTTATCAGAAAGTTACATCCCCAAAGGACATACTTTCCTTGAAAGGAAATAAGGAGAAAAGGCCTAAAAGTCCTATTCTTAAAAGTTTTGAGTACATTACAGTATTAAAAAAAAAACAAACCCAAACAAAAAACACCCAACACTCTAGAACCACTATGTATTAACAGTTACTTCGAGGTTTAATATATTTGCCTTTTGTTTTCAATAACATTTTTATTTTATACTGGTTACTTACAAAGTTCGTAACCATTGTTTGTCACACAGACCCTTCCCATTTCCTTTATCCAGAATAAATTTCTTTTTAAACGCCTAGTTACTAAGGCATCCTCAAGGACTCTAGGATGTTTCTACGTGTAAGTTATAACTTTGCAGAATTCAAAGTAATCTTTTAGCGTGAAAAGAAATACATGTGTTGAGACTGTACTCTCACCAGGGAAGAATCTGCAGGTGGTTGTTGTGTACTGCCAGTCGGAACCGACCCGGTGCTGACCTTCTGGTGGGTTTTCAGAAGCAGTTAAACAGGAGGAGACTGCCCATCCTTCTCCCTCTGAGCAGCTGGTGGATTTGAACCATGTGTGTGCCTAGGGGGTTGCAGCTCAGTTTCTTGCCACCTGCCACCGAAGGTGGTTACTATTGGGAAAAAAATCTCTAATCACCAGCAGTCACTTGCTGCAGAGGGTCAAGGACTGCAGCCTTCAGTATGGACTGAGGCTCAATGTCAAGAAGACAAAGATTCTCACCACTGAACCAATTGGTAGCATCAGGATGGATGGCAAAGAGATTGAGATTGTTCACAGCTTTAGTTTGCTTGGCTCCACGGTCAACACTCTTGGCACCAGCAGTCAGGAAATAAAAAAATGTATTGTGTTGGGAAAATCTGCTGTTAATGACCTCTCTAAAGTATTCAAGAGCAACGGTGTCTCTCTGGAGACTAAGGTGTGCCTGATACAGGCCATGGTCTTTGCAATCACTTGTTATGCATCAGAGAGTTGGACAATGACTAGGGAGGACAGAAGGAGAATTGATGCCTTTGAGCTGTGGTGCTGGAGAAAAGTATTGAATGTACCCTGGACTGCTAAGAAAACAAACAGATTCATCCTGGAGAGGGTTAAACCAAGCTACTTCTTGCAGGCAAGGATTCTGGGGCTTCATCTGACATTATTTGGGCATGTTGCAAGGAGGGACAGGTCCTTGGAGAGGGACATCATGTTTGGGAGGGTGGAGGGACGGCGCAAGAGGGCAAGACCCTCTATGAGATGGATTGATTCAGTGACTGGGGTAATCGGGATGGGTGTGTCAGAGGCAGTGCGATTGGCACAGGATAGAGCAGAGTTTAGGGCTGTTGCACACAGGGTCGCTATGAGTTGCAAACGACTCGATGGCACATAACAACAACAACAATCACCAAAAACAGTAAAAGACTTATGGCCTAGGAGAAGTCGATAGACAACTAATCTCTGTCCCAAGAATGCTTTATTTACGTTTTCTTGCCCCAATTTAGCCCACTTCTGCCTCTGAGTGAATAGAAGTCTCCCCAGTTCCCACCAATGGTGATTCTACTGAGGTGCTTCCCTGTAAGGAAAAAGAAGCAAATCCATCTATTAGTGAGTTTTTGAAACCATTAATGGACTTCTCTGTAAATGTTCATTAAGCTTAAAAAAAAATAAATCCAACAAAACAAAAAACCATTCATGGACAAAACAACTATGAGGTATCGTCTCACCCAAGTCAGAATAGAAAAATTCAACAGAACAGCAAACGACAAATGCTGACGAGGTTGTGGAGAAACTGGACCCTTATTCACTGTTGGTGGGAGTGTAAAATGGTGCAACCACTGTGGAAGGCGGTATGGCGCTTTCTCAGAAAGTTGGAAATAGAAATACCGTTTGACCCAGCAATTCCACTACTGGGAATATACCCCAAAGAAACCAGAACCGCCACCCAAGCAGATATATGCACACCCATGTTTATCGTGGTCTTGTTCACAATAACAATGAGTTGGAAACAACCCAAGTGCCCATCAACAAATGAATGGATAGAGAAGCTGTGGTATATTCTCACAATGGAATACCCTGCTGCATTGAAAAACAAAAACTATACAAAAATTATACAAAATGGGTGCTCCTGGAGGACATTATGCTCAGTGAAATATCTCAGTCACAAAGGGACAAATACTGCATAGTGCCACTGTTGTAAAACGGGATTGACATCAGGCTTGGGGGGTGACTGGGATAAACAATGTACGCCGCATTGAAACAGATGAGGGAGAGAACTGTTTGAACGGGATATGTGATTAGGTATTATTTCATGACAAGAGTGCAGAATGAGAGCTTCATGGTGGAGTGGACTGTGTGTGTGTGGACTGTATAATAATGAAAGTTAAAAAAAATTTTATTTACTTTCCAAAGAGAAAACCAACCGGGGTGGGAGGGGTGGTTTGGCAGGGAGTGAAATGTGCAACAATTAATTAATGGAAATCCAAAGTCTCTATAAACTTTCATTAAAGTTTCAACAAAACAACAACAACAAACCAAACCGTTAATGGAGAATGGCGAATGGCTCTGACCTCTATTAAGGAAGGGGGGGAAGTTGACCACTCGGAGCAAGAATTGTGCTCTAAGCCCCGCCCCCCGTTTCCTAGGTAACCAAGTAAACAGTCCCAGCAGATGCTCTGCCCTGTGAACCAGGGTGTAAGGTGACAGACAGCACTGAGGATGGAGTCCCAGCAGGGGTGTTCTCCTGGGGGAATGGGGTCCCCTCGGGAATTGGAGACCCCACTAGAGTCAGATGCAGCTCCCCCTTCAGAGATGAGCCCCTGTGGGGGAATCAAAGAGTCTGAGGGGCAATATCCTCTGAGCACAGGGGCTGGACTCACCCAACAAGGACAGGATGATTTGGGAGACTTGAGGGTTCTCCCTGAAGCAAAATACGCTGCGGAGTGGAGACGAGGGGGAGTATTAGGAAAAGAAGCTTCGGGGTGGAGAGCGAGCCCCACGGTTTATGACCCGTGTGACACGAGGCTAGGGCCCCAAGAAAGGAATTTCACACTGAGTGAGTTAGGAAACGGATTAGAAAAACAGAATATTTCTGGGCTGGGGTTGAGGGTCCCTCGAGAGGGTTATAATTTAGGAGTCAACAAGATCTCAGCTTCTCAGGAAACAAAACCTTCTTGGAAAAGGTTGCCAGAAAGACTGGGACGCATAACCAAGTGTCCGGGATATTCTGTGAGCAGCGCCCCTGGAGGGAGGCAGGCTTCAGTGGGGAGGCATGAGACACCTCCAGAAGAGATGGAGAGAGGCCCCACCGGTGTGGTGCCAAGTCCCATCACAGAGAGGACGCTGTGTCCAGTGGAGGTGGGCGCCCAGCTGCCCCAGCCACAAAAGCCAGCGCCCCGGACCCGCCTAGGGCTAGAACCACCTGCTTGCCAGTTTGCCCAGCACCTGGGAGCAGGGAAGGAGGGCGCTGACAGCCTCGAACCTGGAGTGGAGTCTCCACACCACATTAGACCCGTCTACGCTGGGAAATTTTTTGATCGAACTCCCTACTGCTCAAGTGTAAGTTTGCGTTCTAAGTATTTTCTTTGAGAATTATAGACAGTCCTATATAGCTTGTGATGATAAAGTTAATTGGAGTTGTTTGGCCTTGTGGAATGACTTGCAAGGATTTCACTGGAAGGTATTCTCATACCCCTTGTGGCACTGGGCAGGCTGTCCAGATAGGGCTTTCTCCAATTCCCTCTGACTTTCCTAAGTGTCAGCTTGGTCCTGTGTGGACCAGCGTCCCTCCTGACTTCTCCCTGCTCTTCCCTTTGACCACCAGTTCCTCCTCCTCCTCCTCCTCCTCCTCCTCCTTCTTCTTCTTCTTTTTAATTTTATTTGAACACTTTATTCATTTACTCTCTAAGTGACCTTGGACAAATGAATCCACTTTTTTTCCCCAAGTTTACTATTGAATTTATTTTCAATAGTACCTTTTTAAAAAATTATTTTAACATTTTTAGCTTATATAACTATTCACTTTCATACAATTATTTATATCTATCCCATTCACATATATTTTACATTATAATTTCTGTAAATTGTAGTTTTCAATTTTTTATTATTATTAATTTTAATGAAAATTTACACAGACTTTGGATTTCCATTTATTCATTGTTGCACTTTTCTCCCTGCCTCCACCTCCCCCTCCAGTTCCTTCTTTGGTCTTCACATTGCTAGCCCTCTTACCAAGACTGATGCTGTGTCCTAACATTTCTGTAACGAATGGGGAAAAAAAACCACCCACCAAACCAACCATGCCCAAAGTATGTGAGACAGACACAGTTCCACCAGCCTTGGACTTCCTCCGAGACACAGCTGTTTGTTCTTTTGGCCGTCCGTGAGATGTACTGTTTCGATGTCACAGCTCAAAGGCCTAGATTGCTCACCTGTCATCTGTATTCGTTGTCCAAATTTCAGCTGCATCGGGACTACTGAGAGAGACCATGGCCTGCATCAGGTGCACCTTAGACTTTAAACTGACATCTTTAGGCACTCGGTTCAAATCCACCAGCTGCTCTATGTGAGAAAGATAGGCAATCTCCTGTGTGATTGTGATTTACAGCTGTGAAAACCTGCTGGAAGATCAACTCTGAGTTGGTTCTGACTCGAGAGCACAGAACAGCCAGAAGCTTTTGACATCTGGGCAGATGCCTTCTCATCATTTGTTTTAGTGGAAAATATTTGCATTTTCTTTTTCTGATAGATATCTCCCTTACAGAGGTTCTGGTTTTCTCAGGTTTTACTACGTTGTTGTAGAGTCCAGTCCAGTCAGAACTGCCCCTTAGCTGACCCTCCAGTGGGTTTTCAGAGGCTGTAAATTGCATGGGAGCAGATCACCCATCCTTCTCCTGTGGAGCAGCTGGTAGATTCAAACTGTGTACCTTTGGGCTGAGAGTGCAATTCCTTACCACTAAACTATCAGACCTTTCTTAAACTATGTTTACTTCCTGGGTCAGCAAAGCTGACAAGTTTGGGTACTGTGACAAGTACCCCAAAACACCCACATCACCAGCAACTCTCCTGGGACTGTGACAGGACTCCCAATGCTTTCTGTGTCTTAGAAATGTTGGGTAGAAAAAAGAGCCCAGAGTGACACTTTTTCCTTGACGGTCACTGTTCAGTTTGCTGTAACTGATCCGCAACACTTCAGGAAAAGAGTTATTTTAAAAAAGGAAAGAAATGTTGGGTAGAAATGACAGAAGCAGCGGCTGGAACTTCTTCCAGTGTGTTATGCCTGGAAATGAAAAGAAAGGTTAGTGTTCTTGTCACTGTGGTGACAGGACACGGTGGAGACAAGATATCTGGGCAGGAGTGTCTGCTGGTCCAGCACAAGATTGGAATTGGAGAGTCCAGTCAGTTCAGAGTTTCTGCTCATCTGAGAGATGACTGAGGCCCCAAGATTTGAGCAGGTCATGGGTGGCATTGAGCCTTCAACAGATTCTACAGGCCTCCAGGGAGCCTCAGAGAGCCTGCCTGACTAGGGAGGGTAGTTTTGCCAGTCAAGTGGATGGATGCCAATGCCTAGTATGAAGAGATAGTCACTGTTGGCTTGACTTCTCTAAGAGTGGTGCTTTCTGGCTGGTCTACTGCTCCAGGTGTAGCTGTATGTATATGCCATGCCAGGTGCCCCAGGAAAGGCTGGAGCCATAGTCCGAGATGATATACCTGCTCATTCAGGGAATGACCACAAGTCCAGCAGAGCACAGAGTACTGGGTCCCAGAGGGAGGCATTGAGTATAAAGCTGTGTGGGCTTCCAGTAAGACGTTACAGGCCTGACCTTGGGTACCTGAGACCAGTATGGGCACCACCAGGCACCTGCTGTTGTTGTCAGGAAGACAGCTGGCTGGAGTTGTCAGGAAACCTGAATTCTGTCACCACCAAGAGAGGTGCTCACAGTCTTTGTAAAATCACATACACACACACACACACTCCGGTAGACAAAGAAGCAGAACTGGCCAATCACTTCTGAAATAATAGGCTTTTGAAAACCCCATGAATAGAAGAACATTGTTGTATAGAGTTCCAGAAGACGAGCCACTCAGGTCGGAAGACACTTGAAACACAACTGGGGAAGCACTGCCTCCTGAACGCAGAGTCGGCCTTTATTAGGTGAGTGGTGCCAGCTTCCCTCTGCTGAACAACTTTCATTTGTTGATGTGGCAAGCCTCAAAATGAGGAGAAATGATGGTAAACATCCATTAAGTGTGGAATGTAGGAGTCATGAACCCAGGAAACTTGACAGTTGGAAAAAATGAAATGAGTAAAAAGAACATCTTGGGTATTAGTGAGATGAAATGGACTAGATTTGAAGCTATTATAATCTATTATACAAGGGATAGGTTTCATAGGATTTTCAAAGGTTGATTTATAAGTGGATAGCTAATCCTTCTTCTTAGTTTGTATTAACTGAGAAGCTTTGCTGAAACTTGTCTACCATGGGTGATCTGATGGTATTAAATACCAGTGGCACAGTCTTCAGCATCACAGCAATGAGCAAGTTACTTTAGTACAGTAGATTGACAGACAAATACTGTACTCCAAAGAGCAAACTTTAAACAAGCAAGCAGACTCACACACATACATTATAAATAAGCAGCACTGCGCAAGTCTGTCTGTCCCTCCCACCCTTCCAACCCCCCTCAACCAATGTAGCTAACTGGTCAATACACACTGTAATCCTAATAACTCCAGAGCCTGGCTGAGCCTACCAGCTTCCCTGATGAGAATGGCTTAGGCTCTGGCCATGCCCCTCCTTTCTCTGGGTGCTCCCTTTTGGCGATGGCACTCTGACCTCTCCAGAGGCCTGGAAGATTCCCGAGGCCAAGAAGCTGTTGTCCAAATAAGCAATGAGCTAGATTTAGGCCAAGAAGCTGTTGTCTGAACAGAGCAAAGGAACACTGAATGGTTTAATATGAGGAAAGTTGTGTATCAGGGCTGTACCCTTTACCTATACCTTGCCAATCTGTATGCTGAGCGAATAACTGGAGAAGATAAACCCTATGAACAAGAGTATATAGAGCATGAGGGTTGGAGGAAGACTCAACAGCCTGCATTATGCAGATGACACAACCCTGCTTGCTGAAAGTGAAGAGGACCTGAAGCACTTGCTGCAGAAGATCAAGGACCACAGCCTTCAATATAGACTGAAGCTCAACATCGAGAAAACAAAAATCCTCACTCCTGGACCAATAGGCAACATCATGATAGATGGACACAAGATTGAAACTTCTCCGTCAATGAATCTTTGTCAACGATTTCTTCTTGCTTGTTTCCAGTTAACATGCTTGTTACCAGCAGGCAGGAGATCAGGATGAATAGAAATGGTAAAGTGCAAATTTACTCACCAACCAGTAACACTAAAGGTTAAGTTTCTCTTACCTTTTGAAGCTTGATATGGACAAACACAAAGGGAATAATAAATGAGGAAGCAGATGAACAGAAGCTTCCACAGTGAAGCTTGAGAAGGCAAACTAAAGTATTACATAGATGCAAAGGAGTGGAGTTAGACAAGAAAAAAGGAAGAGCACACACAGTACTTCTTAGACACATGTAAAGAGCAAACGCAAGCCTTGAATTGCAATACTGAACAATTTTATGGGCAAAATCTCTAATGGTGCAGGGAGCATCAAAAGAAGATGGAAGAAATATAGACTCACTTGTACGAAAAAAGAATTGGTCAGCACTGAACCATTTCAGAAAATAGCATATGATCAAGAAACAATGGTAATAAAGGAAGAAGCTGGCTACACTGAAGGAACTGGCAAAAAAATAGGCCCCAGAATTGATGGAACATCAACTGAGATGCTTCCGCAAACACGTGCAGTCCTGGATGTGCTCACCATCTTATGCCAAGAAATTTGGAAGAAACTTAGCTGACTGACTGCAAGAGATATTTATTTCCATTATAAAAAAGATGATCTAACAGAATGTGCAAATTATTGAACAATATCATTGTTATTACATGCAAGTAAAGTCTTGCTGAAGATAATAAAAAACAAAACAAAACTGGAACAGTATATTTACAGGGAATTGCCAGAAATTGAAGGTTGAATCAAAAGAGGCTATGGACTAAAGGATATCATTGCGCATGTCAGATGGATCTTGGATGAAAGTAGAGAATACTGGAAGATATTTTCTTGTATTTTATTGACTATGCAAGGGCATTTGATTGTGTGGATCACAGTAAATTGTAAATCGTCACACTGAGTGAAATGAATTCCAGAACACTTAATTGTACTCATGTAAAACTATACATAGACCAAGAAATAGTTGTCACCACAGAACAAGGGGAACGTTGTATGGTTTAAAATCAAGAAAGGTGGAGGGCGTCGCAGCGCAAGGGCGAGGCCGCCAGACCGGGGAACGCTGGGGGAACGTACGCCGCCGCCCGCCAGACCGGGGGAACGCTGCCGCCAGACCGGGGAATGCCGCTAGAGGGACCCGGAAGAGACCCGGGAAGAGCAGCCGGGGGAACGCACGCTGCCGC